AGTGGTTAATGATAGAAGATCTGTTGAAAGGATATGTCAATGAAGAGAAAGTGGATTAACAGGAAGTGAAACGTACGATGAACGAATGAGAATAGAGGGGAGTGGAGGAGGTCGCGCTCATTTAAGCAACGACGCAGGACGAGTTAGCGCCAGAGCCGTCTTCCTCATCATGGGGAATTTCAACAACGACGTCCTCGACGGAGGGAGAGGTAGAGAAGTAAGTGGCAATGCTGGTGAAAGCGTCCATTTCAGATGTTGGTTATTGAGATTGGTTAAAAGTGTGAAAGGATGATGCCAGAGACTGGGTCGATTGAGCAGATGTAGACTGGGTCTGAGGATTTCACAAAGAAGTCTGTCGTCCTTTTATACCATCCATCCGGTGAATTAGCCATTTCGGTTTCCATAGGCGGGCGGGGCTTAGGACAACACTCTGATTGGCCGACAAAAAGAACTTCATTGTCCATACGGAACTCAACGTTAATTTCTGACGCTCTATTGTTATTTTACGAAGCGAATCTGGATCAAGACACAAGGCGCAGGGAAGTACGGAAAGTCGGGATTGCCGTTGCGCAATCGATGATCCCAAGCGGTAACAAAAACACAATAAGAGAGAGAGATTAACAAGACCAGGCGACTTTGTCATGACTCTGAAATATAACAAAAAGATGCTTGATAAGCCATCGTGATGAGTTTGGCGGAAACATGAGCCGCCGGAGGCACTGATGGGCCTGTTTCATAGGATGAGTGCTTTGTGGGGACTTTTGAGTTTTATGGGTCCGCACAAAGCAATAACAACGGCAATCGGGCATTTCGAGAACAAGACGAACCAAGGTACAGAAGGTGAATAGTGTGCCTCCTAACGCTTATAGATATTTCCAGTATTCACCTCATCCAGGTCCAAGCGCGTCAGGGCGGAAGAAGGGAGTCAAAAGACTCGGAAGGCTAGGAAAGTTCTAGAGTCTTTTTGGTGGACAGTTCATATCGACTGCAATTTGCAAGACAGTATCTGAGATGACAATAACTATCCAGCTCACGCAGAAATGACTAGTACTAGCACACACCAGGCAGAAAACGAATCTGAAAGAGGCAAGCCTCGAGGCGGGTCACATATTTACAGGTTCCACGAGAAGAAATTAACCTTTTTGTTTTATTTCGCATACTATGTTCACCCGAGGTATACACAGGACCACAACCAATAGTGTCTTGACATTGAATCTTTGAGAATCATAAGACTGGTTGTGAATAAGATGATCCCCTGGGTCGTTGGAGCTCAGGTTTATGTGGTGTGAACTGTGATGCACTTCCTTTAATAATGGGGTGCAGACGCTTAAAAAAGATAACACTCTTTTTTGCCAGTCTGTGAAGGATACGAGACTAAGAGAAACAACATCTGATAAAATTGTGGATTGCAGATTGAAGTACGGAAGACGATGCAAGTCACGTGTTTGGGCCGGATACAGCGAGGCGCTAAATTTAATTCTCAATTATTCCCCCAACGATGCCGACAGCGTTAACGGCGTCGCATGGGGTGACTCTGCCGTCTATGCCTTCTTCATCGTTCTCGTCGTCCTCCTCAGCACACTCGGTGTTATCTCCTTTTTCGTCTTCGCTGTTATCTAGCTCATCTCCATCTACTTCCTCATCGCCACTCGACCCTGTGCTCACATCGATTCGCCACTTACTTTCTCGGGCATTATCTCTACCGTGCTCAACGGCGGCACAAGCTTTCACACAGCTTGTCCAACCAACGCTGAGGTTCCAGGTCGCTTTGGACGCGTTGTTGCCGCTTTTGGATGGAGATCTGGACGCATCTTCGTCTTTCAAAACCAATGCGAATACGAATCCCAGCGCCCACAATGACAATCAAGTTGCTCAACGAATCCTCGTTTCATTCATATTATTTTCGCTTTACGCCCCGTATCCGATATCCATTAACCCATTCAGATCAGCGCTGTTCATGGCGTTTGTAAACGAGAGAGAAAGGGCAATTCACGCTGCCAACGCCCATGTAGATACGAATAGCGTAACTGGAGGGGCAGAAACTCCTTCGAGCGAGCAGCTCGTCTGGGTCCTTTGGAAGATCTTACGCGGAGATGGAACTGATATCGGACCGTATACCCCATCAACACTTGCTCGTTCGCCATTGCCACCAAAACTGGCAGCCATCAATTTGATTTTGGACGACACCGACGGTAATGACATGTACGTACCTGCTATATCTTTCCTTCCGACTTGACCAGTAACAAGTACAGCAGAGATATTTATTATACTCCTGCTAACAAAGCAGGCTCTGGCCAGTCGTTTGGCACCAACAATTACGCCGAAGGAAATGTAAATGATACCTCCCGTCCCACTACATTCATTCCTGCCTCAGAAGACCTCGAAAACGCCGTCATAAGTCGCGGACTAGCTCTTCTCCTCGCCGCTCGTGAACGAGTCTTGTCTCTTTCTGAACGACGGACACTTGAACCGATCTTTCATACGCTTGCTGCGTCGGACATCATTACACCTCACGATTTGTCCTCAATTGTCACGTTCAATCCGGATGTTGCTTTTCCCCTGCTTGTGGAATTGCTGACAGCGTCCATTTCTTCCCCCTCTAATTTTCTTGACCTTCTCGACGTCCTTCCATATCTTCCTCCTTCCCTATCCACATTCGACATTATGGGGAAGCTCTTACGGGATACTCGTCTGATTCCAATCCCGAATGCTATCCCGCACCTACTTCTCGTTGATAGACCTGATGATGCCCAGAATCATCGTTCTGGGTCGCGCATTCCATTGGGAACGCTTATACGATATCAAGTCCTCGCCCGGTTTATACACGAGTGTATTGAGCGGCTGGAAAAGGAAGAAAAAGAGCGATTGTCACTCGAGGGACCTGGGGGCACTGGCGATGGCGATGATGCGTGGGGTAGAGGAGTACGGAATCTTTGCAGATTCTATCTCTCTCTTATCAAACTCAACATTGTTCAAAATGCTAAAACAACGTCTGGATTGTCTCGTCATCGTTCAGTAGATCGGGAAGGCAATTATGACACCGAGTCTTTCTCAGCGGATACGGTTGAAATCGCAACCTTTGCCTTGAGAAACTCAAGGTTTGAGGAGGCGAGGATGCTTTATGGCGTTCTAGCGACTGGATCATTCGATATGTAGTCGAATTCTACATGAAGAAGTTGGACGATTCACAAGTTGAATTCGACTCGGACGTGGGTTTCCGATAAACTAACTTATTTGTTGTACTAGGACGACTAACTGAATCACTTATGCATCAACTATATATATCCTCCCGCGGTTTCCCGAGTAATAGTTTTCATGTCCCAAATGTACTGATCAACTCAAACACTACGTATAGTCAAACCTTCTTACTTACTTACCCATGCTGCTTTCACTTTTCTCCGGTAGTGTTCTTAATTACATGTATTCAAGCTTTATGTATGCCCCTTATGTTCTGCTTTCATGTGGTGCCGCCCATATAGACTGTCATGTATTGGGAGACGCAAAAAAAATCCAAAATATATGCGAATTTTTCCTTGCCTGACATTTATGACAACAATTGCAATCTACAAAGCTCTTCCTATCGTATCCTGCCCCCACTGCGACTTCCGCCTCCTCGTTTTTTTACCATGCTAGCCTGTACAGCATGACATACAAAGCAATAGTTGCTAGAATATGGGAATGATCCTTGAGAAAGTTTCCGTTGACATCCCCTACATTCTCCATCTTGTGGAGACCCCAGAACCAAGATCTCCAGAGGAAGGAGTGGATGACTTCGACACGGATTGTCACTGGAGGGTTGAACATCAGACCAAACAGTGATGTACCGTTAGCTCTGCTCGGAGAGTGATGGCGTAATATAGCCTCGTCGTTTGAAGGTATGGTAAATGACCTCAATGAGTTCGACATCGTACACTGCGTATGAGAGATGTTTTTTCTGGATGGGACGTTCCGGCCAAGCTTGATGGTTGACTAGAAATTCGTTCAGTAATGATTTTAACATGGAACACGATAAAATTCAACTGGTTTCTATGGGAGCGGCGTTGATGGTGTGATTTTTCAAACAGGAAAGCATACTGCTGAGCATGTGTACATCCTTATACATTTCCCTGTCGTGAATGACCTGACTGGGATCAAGGTATCCATTGAGCTTCTAATTCTGAGCCTGTACGCTCTGCAGCCAGCTGAATATCAATAGCATTCTGCATGCGAACACCATACTCATAAAAGAAGGCACAAAAGTCCATTCGGCCGTCAAAAACAATCTTCTGGACGGAGCCAGATTCCACGATGGCACTGAAAAAGCGTTTCGGAGATTCGCTATCGCGGGTGAATGCGAGGACATCAATGAGGAGGGTCGTAGACGAATCTGAGGAGGAGGAGGAGGAGGAGGAGGAGGAGGGTAGTAGTTCTCGTATGCAAATGATCGAGAGTGTGCCGCCTGGACGGCCGAGATTATCGCCTTCGCAATCAAGAGCAAGGAGTTTGCAGCCTGAAAGCGTGGTGGATAGCGCATCTTCGAGTGACTCCTCGGTGTCGCACAAGGACCAACGTCTGGTAGGAGAGCATATTTCCGAGTCGGTTAGGAGTCTTAACAACTCCAAACGAGACGAGATACTGTAAAAAGACATACTCGCGAAAGATGGTCAGTTTTTTTTTTTCGCGAGCTTCGAGGGCTTTTGAACTGCCGGCGAGTTGACTTTTGTTTTTTTGTAGCTACATTCAGATGTACCGCAGCCACAGACACGAGGATAACCACATATAGTTCGTGCAATACCTCTGCAGCCTAAAAGAAACTCAAGAGAGTCTGGCACACCTTCTTTGAAACAACTTCATGAATTTCAAGCTTTCTGGTCGGCTAGGTAATACGTGAAAATTGGAGACATGTACACGCTTCGACGTCAAAATTTTACTTACAAGTATGCTTAAGTGTATGTACAGTATATGTATGTATGCATTACGTGATGACTGTTTTCATTAAAAAAAAACAACGCCCACATCGTGGTGAGATGGCCGAGCGGTCTAAGGCGCCAGACTAAGGAGGACCAACACATTAGATGTGTAGTAGAATTATCTGGTCACATTGTGGCGTGGGTTCGAATCCCACTCTCATCACTCTGCAAATATCTTTTTTTTCTCCAGATCTGCGTTCTGGACCTACATTCCCCTCGATAGTACCAGCTGGGTACATGAGATTGGCGGTCACCCAACACTGTCAACATTTACAATATTACCCACTTTTCACTTCGGTGTTGAACCTCGCTGATGGTCAGTATTCCTATGCTAAGGGAGAACCAGTTCACTTCCTGGCATGCTCGGCACCGATTAAGTAACACCTACTAGTTTGGAGTCCATAGTCCTTTTCTACACCTCATCATTCACGTGCATCAGGCATGCATCAAGTTAAAATATTGTCGGAGGAAGTTAAATTACTAGTACTGGAAAGTATGGAAAGCAAAAAGTAAGAATTACACTAAACACCTAGCAATATTGTAGTTATACCTCAGTCTTCATCAGAGCTCTCTGTTTCATACTCATCTTCCTCTTGAGCTTTACCTTTACCTTTACCATTGGTATTCTTCCCATTGCCAATGACCCTAGAGCTCGCCATCTCCACAACCAGTTGACCTCCAGACAAAGCCTTGATTCCGCCCAAGAGAGTATCTGGTGCCCAGGGAACTAGTTGACGCGGGTAAGCAGACAACAGAGTGAACCCCCACCATTCGTTGGGTTTTGATAGGTGTGAAGAGAGTAGGGCGTGCAGCGTGTTGAAGGTGTATGATGGTGATGGTAATAAGGACGAAGAGACAGAAGTAGAGACAAGCTCGGTGTCGACAAAGGCGTATAAAGTGTCCAACGTATCCGTGTTCGCATCAAACCGCCTCATCAGGCGACGACCATCGGGCATACGTATTGCAATCCTGATTGTTTCGTTCACGCCAGGTTCAGCGGGTAACGCCTGCCTGAACCACGTTCTCCAACGGTCTCTTTCTTCGGCCTGTTCCAGTGCTTCAACGCGTTGCCGTTCAAGACGTTCACTTTCCATTCTTTGAATATCTTCCTCCGCCCGTTTCTTTTGCAGTTCCGCCTTCTCCTCTTCCATCTTTTTTAACATTCTCTCTTTATCCCGTCTCTTGGTCTCCTCGAACGCTCTATCCTGAGCCTCCCGTAGCTCGCGTTCTATCATCCGTTCCCGTTCCACTGCCTCCCTGTGCGTCCGTGTTCGGTCTAAGTAGGGCTTTACTCGGGGTAACAACGTTTCTCGTAGATGCATACCAAGTGCGGAGGATGTACAAGCGGAACCGCCGAAGTGCCGCGAGAGGACGGTGAGTGCAGGAGTAGACTGACTCGCAGTCGTTGTAGTAGAGCCAGACGACGAAGTGAAATTTCTACCTGGTTGCATTCCTATGAACGCGACAAATGGATAAGTTGTGGCTCCGAGCTTCAGACTCGCTTCGTATGCTTCCTTGTCATGTATATCACCACCCCAACACACTATGTTGTTATCAACTAGAATTTGCACAAACTCATTGTTTGTGAGCGTTGTGTTCTTGAAATCCGCTGTAGAATCGTGCTCTGCGGAAACGAGGACAATGCATCCAATCCGGAATGAAGATTGGCATAAGCGAAGGATCGAATCGTATGTACCCAGTTGGAATGGGGGAAGCAGTTTATTCGAGCCTGAACCAGTGTGTCGAGAGGTAAGTGTAGATGGACCAGCTTCGGCCGATGCATCCACCGAGGCATCCACTTGAACACCTGTCGCGTCAACAATACCGGAGGAGCCGGCACAAACAGCACCAGTTTCTTCTTCCAGCTCGCGTATCCATCGTGCTATCCCGCCACCACGTCGTACAGTTGTACGGCCAGAAGCTCGTCGGTAGAAATTGAGCGACAAGAACGGGATGTACGGGAAAGGAATACGCAAAAAGTTGAAAATAAAGCGGACGAGTGAAGAGATGAGGTGTAGTGGGTAGGTTATTAAGCTTAGAACAGAAGTAGACTGTCGAGGCTAGAGGGCGAAAATGATTTTTTTCAGTATCAACGATGTGCAAAGCTGTAAGGAAATGTATATTAACCGGTTCTCTAGGTCTCAAGAGACCTTGTTCAGAGTCATCGACGTCAAATTCCTCGTAACGTCTTCCACCCGAGTCTGCTAAGCTACCACGACTTCTGCTGTCAGTACTGCTACCACCTGCTCTGTTACTTCCGGCCCCTACATGGCCATCAAAAATCATCTCTGCGGCGCGCTGAACGTCCCAGTCCACACTGACGAGCACACCCATGGCAACTTCATCGTCGCCGCCATTTGTCAGGTCGCGTAGTTGGCTCAAGGCGCGGGTTTGTGAGGGTGTAAGCGACGAAAGGTCCGTCATTTATGATAAAGAACAATTCGTTGTTGACAATGTTGTATGGTTCGATTGACTGTTAGCGTCGGAGAGACTAGTCTTTTCCTCTAGCAATTCTACCTGAGTCGTGGATTGTTCGTGGACGCATTCATAAGCGCTGGTTCTTCTAACGCTAGTCTAGCGCCCTCCGAATCTGAACTCATCAAATATCGTTCCACATAGTCAGGGCTCAGTACACATATTACCAGTCCTCCGAACGCAGAATCTATACTTCTTGGCACAAAAGAGTCGGGGCAGTAGGAGCAAATTACAGTGAACAAGTAAATATTCATAAAATTGTAGAGCTTTCGCTGCTCTCTTGATTTTAACGTTCTCCGGAAAGCCGAAAGTAAACCTTGATCTACCATTTGAACATTGGAGGAACAACCTAAATCCCCTCTTGTTACGCAGGCTTCAAGACGTACATAGGGCTACTGCACTGCATCTGATAAGAGCAGTGGGTTTAACACTGTTTCATTCGAGTACAGAGCCAACCCTGGTACGATGGTACCAGTGTAAGATAGTCACAACTCTTTCTGATAAAGTGAGAACCGTAGATTCTAGCAATGCAAAGTGAGTATATGAACTAAATAAGGTAACAGAGTTAACCGGACGTACATTGTTATGAAAGTCAACCGAGCAGTAACACGGTCGGAAATGACAGAAAGACTCCATGTAAAATATTGGAGGAAGAATTGACCAGTTGAACAAATAATGCCACTCTCTTCCAGTTTCAACCTACATAACATGACCATCGTAGCCTGATTGCGTTCTCGCGCTTGGCTGAGGTTGAACAGGCTCCTGCACCTCGATCTTCTGTATGATTTTCCATGGAATCAAAATTTGGCCTACAAAGCGTCCAGAAGTAGAGCTGGATTCCTCGCGGTCGTTCTTCCCTGCCTCTGAACTCTCTATACGATACTCTTCTGTATCCGTGAGGAGGATATTCATTGGTTGGTCCGTTCCGATGAAAGACCCGAGGAAGATCCGTCCGTCAACAACGGTGATACGGAGGGTTGAGCTGAGCAGTTGACGCAGTTCGGCAGTAGCAGATGTGTGGGATGCATTGGATGTGTTGGCAGCGGATAAGGCCATGCAGTGTCACATTGGTCACATGTCAACGCGTCAGTCACGTTCCCACACCGTGTCCTCAATCCTGTGGTGTCTTCCTTAGCACTGACTTTTTCCCGCAAACACTGATGTTTTGCGCACTGTTTTAAATCCTCTCCAGCGGAATTTACCTTTTACTTTGCTCAAGTAATTGTTCCCCCGCACAACATCATATGAACCCATTTGCCTCTAGTCCAGCTCTCGACATGCAAGGCCAATTTCCCACCCAAGATACCCATATGTACTCTGTTATCCTTCCAACATATAATGAGAGAAAGAACCTCCCCATTATTATCTGGCTTTTAGCGAAGGTATTCACAGACAAGTATGTATCATGACTGCTCTGTGACTCTATAGTGTTACTAACTGCGACCTTGAATCTTCACAGCCAGCTAGAATGGGAAATCATCATCGTAGACGATGCAAGTCCGGATGGTACACAGGAGATAGCGAGGCAACTAGCTACAATGTATGGAGAAGATAAAATTGTCAGTCAATGCGCGTTACCATTCCTGTAAAACCATTGGTGTTTACCTCTATCCGAAATAGATTCTAAAGCCTCGCGCGGGTAAACTAGGTTTAGGGTATGCCTGTGACTTCTTTCGAAATGGTATCCGCATGCTCAACTGTAGAAGTGCAGGACAGCCTACATCCACGGTTTGAATTTCGTTCGCGGCGATTTTGTGATTATTATGGACGCTGATTTCTCACATCATGTGCGTGTATCCTTGCTGCTCTTCCTCCATCATGACTTACCTTCATCTCATGGTTCCACGCTGATTTCCTAATTTGTATTCCATTCGAGTAGCCCAAATTCATTCCACAATTCATCCAGTACGTTATTCATATCATGTTTGCGTTCTTTCTTTCTTTTCTTATCATTCCGTTAGGCAACAGAAAGCACACAATTTCGACATTGTCACTGGTACCCGATACCGCTCTTCTGCATCACCTCCGTTGACTGCTGCCAAACCTGGCGGCGTGCATGGGTGGGACCTGAAACGAAAGATGGTCTCGCGGGGGGCAAATTTTCTTGCAGCGACAGTGTTGAACCCTGGGGTTAGTGATCTAACTGGGAGCTTCCGGTGAGTGTTCCGAGTGTGGATATCGTCTATCGTACTCTAATACTGTTCCACGGATCCGTCTCTACCATCTTTATACTTCTTTATTTGACAAAGATTATACAAACGAAGCGTTCTTCAACACATCATATCCGTCACCCTATCCAAGGGTTACGTCTTTCAGATGGAGATGATGGTTCGTGCGAAGGCGCTAGGGTACACCGTTGGTGAGGTACCGATCACGTTTGTGGATAGGCTTTATGGTGAGAGTAAGCTGGGTGCGGATGAGATTGTGAGCTATGGGAAGGGCGTGTGGGGACTCTTTGTCGGAGTATAAAGGATGGCTTTAGTTGTGAGCTTTCCCAACTCACCTTTGAGGTTCGATTAACGTATTTGTTTGCTTCCAGGTTACTTCATTCCATGATACCAATGTTGTCGCTCTATGGATGATATAATCATGTTGATGTGAACGTCGGTGTCTCTGGGCTTCTTCAATCAGCATTGCACCAAAAGTGACAGGACCCTAGGATATGAAGGTTTAACTTTCTCCTATTGA